GGAGAGCCGAGTTTCAATTCCGGTTGGGTTCGTTATATTTACTTATACGCAAATACCATTGGGAGAAGTATGAATCCGCATCCTCTCCCCCAGATATGGGTTAATGAGTAGGAATTGTATCACTAAATCATTATTATCTCCATAAAATTCTAACGAGCTAAAAATATTTTCTGGCTATGAATAACCTACAAAGGGTTGATAAGCCGTAAAATTTTTCAATCAATCAATTCTGCCACCAGTATGTACTATGAGTATCAAATTCTCCAAGACTTCTTTCCTCATGTGTTTCAGAAATTTTATCTGTCTATTTCTGATTCTAAGTTGGTTCATTTTTGTTCCAGATTTTCTTATAACTTCTTCGATTCTCCCGTGTTCTGCCCATCGTATTCACAGCAAACTTTTATAGAATCTCATTTCTGCTGACTCCGTTCTCCAAAAAGCTGTGAATAAATTATCCAGCACACAATTGCCATATAAGAGGATTGATGTTACATAGTAGTTCGGGATTCTTTTGTTTGTTTTCCTCTTCTGTAATACATTGCTTAGATTTTGGGAGCTAACCTTTTTTCACCACACCAGGGTTACTGCCGTGGATTCTATAACAAATTGGCCTTTTTTTACGGTGGGAAGTTGGGGTTTCCTTGTCAAACACGCTTCGAATTCAGAGTTATCCTTCTCCTCGGCTGTTTGCCAACCAAGTCTACAGGGCACAGTGAGCACTGATATTTAACGCACTGCGGTTGGCGGTGGCAAAGAATCGGTCTATTTCCCATTGATATTTGTGCGACGGGCTTTCCTTTTTCCACGGCGATGACCACTACATTACAGACACATCGATAAGTAAAAGCCTTCAAATATCTATCTATCTATCTATCTATCTATCTATCTATCTATCTCTCTCTCTCTCTCTCTATATATATATATATATATATATATATATATATATATATATATATATATATAATTTTGTTCATTATCTTTCTGTCTCCCCCTCTCTCTCTATATATATACACATCTATCTATATATCTATCTTTGTTCATTATCTATCTATCTATCTATCTATCTATCTATCTATCTATCTATCTATCTATCTATCTATCTATCTATCTATCTCTTGCTCTTTCATATATACACATCTATTTTTATATCTAATTTTGTTCATTATCTATCTATCTATCTATCTATCTATCTATCTATCTATCTATCTATCTATCTATCTATCTATCTATCTCTTTCTCTTTCATATATGCACATCTATTTATATATCTAATTTTGTTCATTATCTATCTATCTATCTATCTATCTATCTATCTCTCTTTCATATATGCACATCTATTTATATATCTAAATTTGTTCATTATCTATCTATCTATCTATCTATCTATCTATCTCTTGCTCTTTCATATATACACATCTATTTTTATATCTAATTTTGTTCATTATCTATCTATCTATCTATCTATCTATCTATCTATCTATCTATCTATCTATCTATGTGTCTGTGTGCATGTGTGACGTCGATAAGTGGACAGCGTTCTTTTTCTTGGATTGATATTTAATGAAGATTGTCTCGTGTTGTCTCATGACATGAGGAAGTAGGCTGCACCCTTTCACTCAGATTTGATATTAATAAAGAAATACGACTTCCTGTCGGAGTTAAATCAGCTTACAGATATCAATAAAGATATATTCCTTGACAAATGCAGAATTTGATATAAAAACGAAAGAAAAAAATATTCTGTAGTAGTAAGACATCACTCAGTGGATGCTATCGTTTTACACAGATAATATATTAAATAAAGGTATATAAAATATCTATATCGGGATGCTCTTGTGTCGTACTCATTACCTTCATGAATATAAAAAAAAATCTACATTTTCACAATTACAAAATTTAATATACAAACGAAAGGATTATTATGGGATATATGAGAAAGCTTTTTCATTTGTTTTTATATAGTTTTTATCTACTCATATAGACAAGATCTAAATACAATGTAAGATTCATCAATGTCATTATTATTAGTAGTAGTATTAATAGTAGTAGTAGTAGTAGCAGTAGGAGTAGTAGTGTTCCTTCTTTTTTTATTTGCTCTCTGTTCGTATCATTTACAATGTTTTTCACCTGAGACCTAAAAATCTGTCGCTTTTTATCCCATGTTTCCTGACCATGATTGGGTTTCCGGTCCCTTCTAAAGCATTGTCCCCCTCTTTCACTCCCAGTACGTAACTCTTTGCGTCTTAGTGGCTTTATCGCCTTGCTTGGAGTGAATTGATTTAAACAAAAATTAAGTTTTTTCTTAGAAAGTTATTAAGCATTTTTTTAATGATTGCACCCCAACCAAGGCAATAAAGCCACTAAGACGCAAGGGAGTTACTGAGAGCGAAAGAAACCGAGAAAATGTTGCCGAGGAGAAAGGGCAATAAAAAAGAACAATGTTTAAGGAAACAGAACATGACAATTGACGTTGCATTTAGATTTTTATTTCCATAGTTGACAGGAAAGCAAGAAGGAAACTGAAAAAAAAGAAAAAAGAAACGTCGTTTAGGAGAGAGGAGAATAAAAAGAAAAAGATTTTAGGGGACAGAAAGTGACGATTGAAATCGCATTTAAAATTTCGAAGAAGTTGGAAGAGAGTTCTACAGGCGAAAAGTGCGAGGGAAGAGACCATTAGAAAATAACTTACGCTTAAACTTAGAAATACCTATAGTAAAATGATGAGACCTAGCTGCCAATCTAGTACTGCGCTTAAATTCATGAAGTCTAGTTACCAAAGAAGAGTTCCCATCAGAACAATTGCCATTATCTAGTATAATACTAAAAGTCTGTGATTGCGTGCGTGCTTGTGTGGTGCGCCCGGTCGGCGCATAATTATTTAAATTAATCTGCTTTAAGTGAATAAGATTTTAAAATACGTGTTGTTTATACAGTATTTTTATTTTAACTTTCTTCAAATAGACAATTTTTTAATTAAAATATTTTAAAGTTAAAGACAGACACAAAAAGATCCCGCTTTGCTGTTTCGTCCAGTTGTTTGTAGAGTAATCATTTATATTTCAGCTTTCTTTAAACTAAAAAATATTTTAAATATTAAAAAAAATTAAGTTAATCTGATTAAGAAAAATATTTTAAGTGAATAAGATTAAAAAATACGAGTTGTTTATACAGTAAGTATTTTTATTTTAACTTTTTTCAAACAGACAATTTTTTTGTTTGAAATATTTAAATTTTAAAGACAGACACAAAAGAGATGCCGCTTTGCTGTTTTGTCCAGCTCTTTGTAAAGTAATTATTTATATTTCAGCTTTCTTTAAACAAACAATATTTTGAATATTTAAAAAATATTTTAACCTGATTTAAAGTTCAAGTTTATCCCGGAAGTACTATCCCTCTTAAATGCTGTAAACAATCAGTAAAACGCTATCCATGAACTTGTAAACCAGATCCATGATTACACTAACGAATTGAAATATTTAACTAAATCATAATATAAGCATAAACTTTCAAATGGAATGAAATGCTGAAATCAACTTCACTGTTTTATAACCTGAATCGTCAGTGACCCAACGGGTCACCGGTAGTCTAGTTTATACTAAAAGCAGTTGGAAAGTGATTAAAGCCGAAATGCCTGGTCAGGACTGATAATATTGCAGATTCTTTGGATTTTGTCAAGAATCTCTAGATAGATAACAGAAGCACCAACTTAGATGTGGCAACAATATCCAATACAGAGTGAATGATAGAGTTTTAAAGATGAATGACAGATTCTGGTGAGAAAAAAATAATTTAGCATGACAAAGTAAGCAGAAGATTAACAGCTGATTCTATAAAATCGTTCCAATCCATATCAGTGGAAAATATTACACTGAGAAAGCACTCACTGGAGGTTAGCATCAACCATGTTGATTGAAGTTAAAATGTTCTGAGTTGATTAAATGAGAGCAGTTTAGTTTTTGAAGCATTAATATTAACAAGCTATTTCTTGCACCAGTTAACAACATGCTGTAGATCATTTTCGTGATCAGCTGTTAAATTGACTTATCGAACCTCACAGATATATTTTTTTACCTATCTATTGATGCCAATTATAATTTTCGTTTTTTTTTTTTAATGAAATGTATGTTTTTGAGGTATTCATTTGCTAATTGTTTGGCTTGTTTCTACCTTATATAATAAAAAAAAACATCATAATCTAGGATTTGATTCAACGAAAAATTACTGTGATGTTGTCACGATATCAAATCCGATTGGCTATGTGGATTTAGGTCCGTGGGTCTGGTACCAAATTCATTCTATGATCTTCGTTGTTTGCAAGTGGTTTAAACCGGGTGCATCGTGACGTTGGATTTTATGGTTTTCCTTAAAAACCTAAACTGTCCTACAGTTGCGTTATTTAGTGGGACTCATTAATTAGTAGGACTATTCATTGTTATCTCCCAAAAATTCTTACAATCTAAAAATATTTTCTGGCTTTAAATAATCTGCAAGAGGTTAAGTAGTAACAAGCAAATCAATCAATATCTGTCTATATTTCTGAGATGAGGTATTATGTACACTATTTACATTGGTCGGACTATCATCCTCATCTTTGTTGCCATATTTATCACATCGTTTCGGCCGTTGTACACTCCGGCCTTCTTCAGGTGGTTGGAATGTCGAACTGAACCATTTATTTCGCTCACTAGCGTAGACTGCTCTAGTTCCACTTGCCATGTCTAATGGATATCACTTATCAGTTATCTCCTGTTAATTCCCATCTCCAAGTTCTCCACCAGGTATTGAACTCACACTCTTTGGGTCCTTTATCCACTGTGCCAGGCGTTAGTTAGATTCAGTGACGGGACCCAAAGAGTGTGAGTGATAGAATAATGTAAAAAATGGATAATTTGAATGGTGCATTGTAACGGAAAATGTCTTGGGTGGGGGCACGGCTGATAACGACTGTTGATTTTTTTACCAAATATCACAGCCCGATCACATGTTTCAAATGCCAAGGTCTTACGGCCATATCATGTTGAAACACTAGTTACCGTATGATCACCGAAGTTAAGTAACGTCGACCCTGGTCAGTACCTTAGATGGGTGACCGCTTGGGAATACCAGGTGCTGTAAACTTTGATGTGCGGGTGGTGTGATGGATAATGGCTGGGAATTGTTAATCGTAGAGCCGAGTTCCAAAGTTAAGCAAAGCCGAACCTGATCAGCACCTAGATGGGTGACCGCTTGGAAATACCAGGTGTTGTAAGTTTGGATGTAAGGGTGGTGTGATGGATAATAGCAAGAAAATGTTAAGCGTAGAGCCGTGTTCCAAAGTTAAGCAAAGATGAACCTGATCAGCACCTAGATGGGTAACCGCTTGGGAATACCCGGTGCTGTACGCTCGGATATGCGGGTGGTGTAACGGATAATGGTTCGGAATTGTTAATCGGAGAGCCGTGTTCCAATTACAGTTGAATTCGTTATCTCTCTATATTTCTGAGATGAGGTATTGTAATTATTTACATTTTTTTCATTGTTCGAACTGTTGTCCACATCTTTCTTGCCATATTCATGACGTTTCGGCAGTTGTACGCTCCGGCCTTCTTCAGGTGATTGGAATTTGAACGCTTTATTCGTCCACCGGGATAAAGTGTTCTAGTCCAACGTGCTATGACTCTTCCGGATGTCTCACTTATCTCCCTTTAATTCAATTCTCCAAGTTTTTTTGCTCCTCAAGGACACATGGCCCAGTGGATAAAAGCGTTGGCTGGATCCACTGACATGACACAAAGAGTTGTGAGTTCAATACCTGACTACTGCATTTTGGTGAACAAAATCTTGGATAGTTCATGGTAATTGCTCCGAGGAGCTGCATTCGCTGGTTCCCTGACTTCATGAATTCAAGCGCCCTACGAGGCTGGCATCCCGCTCTCACCCTTTCACTGTCGAAACTATTAAATGTAGCCGTCCATTCTACTCCAATAGCTTCATGTCTCGCACCTCTCGCCTTCCCTATTCCAGTTTCCCTGAGAGCTATAATCTCCAACTATTCAAATGTAATGTCAATCGACATCTCCAGTTACCTTGATCTATCCACTAGTCTTCTCCTCATTCTTTCCTCTATCATTCCTATCTGATCTTGCTCCAAATCTTCTGTAACCCCTTGCGTGCTAGTGGCTTCCCGCCTTGCTTGGGGTGAAAAGCTTAAAAAAACAAAACAAAACAAAAAAAGATTTGAGAATTCGTCATATTCACTGACGCTCAAATACCCTTGGGAAAAGTATGAAGCCATCTCTTAGTAAAAATTGTATCACTAAAACATTTATTATTATTACGTATATTTAGAATCCAGCATTAAATAATCCATTGTGGTTAATATGCCGCTAAAAAACAACCAATCAAATGCGATGTTTTAAACCATCAGGAATGAAAATTCTCTAGGAACGTATTCTCCAGACGTCACCTAATCACTTGTTTAACTGCAAGCAATACTCTTTGTTTGGTCAGGGATTGGGAAAAGTTTCCATAAAGTTAAAACCAGAATTCTTCTTTGAAAATAGAATGCAGGGATACATAGAAAGCTAAAGAAAATAATTTGATAACTGAAAAAGGAAGATAGACATATAAGTAAATGATTTTCAAAATGTTGTAAAGTTTTGCATTGACCCAGAATTGGATGAACACAGAATTAATGAAAGACAGATTACATTATTTGACTCAGATTTAATATTTAATAAATGTATGTCCAGACAATTATGACTTAATAGGATAAGACGATGAATATTCTTAAAGATAAGCGCATTGATAATTGTAATATTTACGATAACATAATATACATGATATACAGACACGTCATATAAGCAGATATGATCGGAAGTTAAAATAAGACTAGAGATCTATCTATCTCGGTTTTTTCTTTATATCTATCTATCTATCTATCTATCTATCTATCTATCTATCTATCTATCTATCTATCTATCTCTGTCTGTTCATATCTATCTATCTTGTTCTTTCATATCAATGAAAAATGTTTCATAATGCTTAATCTGATAAATTCAAAGACAATTACCCATAATAAAAAAGCCAGCGAAATAACTGACGAATCGCAGCTCGCAATGCTATTTACTGAAGGAATGTAAGAATTATTAAATTTCAGAAAGAGGCTACATTGAAAAATGTCAAATATGCCAGAGTATGAAATGGCTTTAAAATTGTGAACTCATCTTGCATCCTTTCACCATACAATATAATCATAATGGAAAAGATAATAACAGCGTCTCGTTTTTATATTAATGTTCACTCAATAGAAAGCCCAAGAGCCACTCAAGGTAGAATATCTCTGTATGGTGTTGTAGGAGCGTAAAAATAAAAAGCAAGAAGTAAAGTTCATGGGATTATGCATGAAAGTTAACCATTAACGCTGAACTTGAAGAGGTCAAGAGTTTAGTGATAAGGAAAGCATCCTGGCGGGAGTTTGTTCCACAAAACATAAGTTCTTGCAAACTTACTTCTTTCTTTTGGAATACGAAGAGAATTGGATGATTCACACATTGTATGTGGCATGGCAGATTCCATTTGTAAAGGGCAGGAAACCGGACTCAGAGAGGGCATCGGCAATTAAAAATACCATCACATTGAAAACATTGAGATAAGCTATCAAATGAACCTAGAGTAAGTGCCTTAGCCAGTAAGCACCAAAGTCAACCATTGCATTGAAAACATTGAGATATGCTATCATATGAACCTAGAGTAAGAGCATTAGCCAGTAAGCATTTAAAGTCAGCCATCACATTAAAAACATTGAAAATAAAAGTGCTTTTTTAGGATTTTAATCATTGGCATTTCTAATAGAAATGAAAACAGAATTAACATTATTTTTACACTAATACTTAAGTGTTATCTTGCTATGAAAGATGAATTCAGCATAATATTCGAATTTTAATTTGATGTGTGGGGCGTTGACAAAAAGTTTGTGCCCAAAGGGGGCGCTGGTTGAGAAATTGTTGGGAAACGCTGGTCTAGAACATAATCGTTGTGCACAGAAGATTCGCCAACTCAAGTTTCAATACTGAGAACAAATTTTAAATTTCCAAATCAAAGCCGATTCGTTAGATAGATTAGAGCTGTGCAAAAGTTCTCAGGGATCGTTTTAGAAAACTACTGATTTAATAGCTGAACACCAGGTTTCCGCTGGAAAACTTTGAACTTCATAAATCTTGACAAATTTTATGTAGCCTGTGTTTGAGTTGATTTGCACAGATGCACGTATACAGAGGCCCAGATATGTGTTCCAAAAGGTCTCATCTACCAGGGCCAAATGGCATAGATTAGACGAAAAAATATTTAACTGAAAAAATGGGACGGCGTGTCATTACCGGACCAGGGGGAGGGTCGTAAATTTAACTTGCATTTTGCAATAAGACCATATTCACGAAGAGATTTGTGCCTTTTCTTTTCTTTCCTGAAGAGAGATTTAGGATTTGGGTGGATTAGTGACGGGGTTTGTATCTTTGAGATGGTAAATTTTCTATGTTTTTTTCTTTTTCCTTTAAAGATTAATCAGGAATTTCAATTCCATTGCCGCAATTCTCATAAAAACGGCAGCTTTAAAACACTGACATGGATTTTGTATTGAAAAAAAGAAGGATGAAGAGGAGAATAAAAAGAACATCGATTGTCTTTAGATTTTATATACATACATATATATACACACACACACACATATATGAAAATCTATCAACCTCATTCACTTCATATCTATCTATCTATCTATCTATCTATCTATCTATCTATCTATCTATCTCAGTCTGTTCATCTATCTATCTATCTATCTATCTATCTATCTATCTATCTATCTATCTCAGTCTGTTCATATCTATCTATCTATCTATCTATCTATCTATCTATCTATCTATCTATCTCAGCCTGTTCTTATCTATCTATCTATCTATCTATCTATCTATCTATCTATCTATCTATCTATCTATCTATCTATCTCAGCCTGTTCCTATCTATCTATCTATCTATCTATCTATCTATCTATCTATCTATCTATCTCAGACTGTTCCTATCTATCTATCTATCTATCTCAGACTGTTCCTATCTATCTATCTATCTATCTATCTATCTATCTATCTATCTATCTATCTGAATGCACTTAAATCTATTTATCACTGTTCCCAACGCTCTTGATCTATTTCTGTATTTCTATCAATCTGAGTCTTTTACTTTCCCATGATGTCGTCCCATGTCATCCTTTGAACCCATTCCCTCTGAGGCTTGCTCCAACTGCATATCATTAGCCATCAGCTATTAGAATTCGGAGATTAGCTAAATCAGTTTGAAGTCACGCACTTCAAGACAGGATTCCGTACATTTCAATCACTCACTCACTCACTCACTTACTCACTCACTCACTCTCTCCCTCTCTCCGCACTTCCACATATCAGCTTATCTCGTTTTGTCGACATCTTTCACTGTGATTTTACTTATATAAATTGTAGATTTTTCCTGGAGACATGAATCTATCTATCTATCTATCTATCTATCTATCTATCTATCTATCTATCTATCTATCTATCTATCTATCTATCTCGTTTTTTCATATGTATCTCAGTCTGTTCGTATCTATCTATCTATCTATCTATCTATCTATCTATCTATCTATCTATCTGGATAATTCCATGAAGACCATTCTCTTAGTCCTTGTATTAAGCTTTCAGTTTTCCGATAACAATTACTATTTTCTCCATCGTATTTCAATCTTATTTGTCAACAGACACTAGTTATGTTTCCAGTCATAAATTATACTTTATTTCGTATTTTTAATGACATAATCGCATACATTCCTACGACAAAGAATATATATTTCAATATGTCTGTCTATCTGCCTGCGTGCACGCGTGTTCCTTGGTATGTGTTTGTGCGCATGCGCGTTTCTGTGTCTTCGAACATGATGGGAAATATTCATTTCACTATTTGGCAGACAGCCAGTACCACGTAGAGAAAGGAAACTCGGCGTTCCTCGTTGAAATCTCGCCGATTCTCGTGGCCGACTATTGCGCCCCGTGATTGTGAAGAGCCTAAACATGTCTATGTAACGCAAAGCAAATATTTGGAGCGGCCTGTGAGAA